TGTGGGTGTGAAAGTGTGGGTATATGTTAGTTGTCGTACATTGTATTCACTCCTACACCCGCCCTAGGTTTTTGATAAATCATCGAAGTCTCCTTATCGTCGAGAGATGGAGTCCAAGCGGCTTGGACATCTCGGTATGTTTCTCCCTAAACCAGTCCTAAAAGAGATTTTGCAAGTTAGCGAATTGGTTATAGAAATTATTTTATCATGTATTCATATCAACCAGTAGATTATTCACATTCGTTTTCGACATATTCCGTCAAGCGACCGTCGGTTGAATCTGAATTATAAACTCTTCTGAAGGGACGAACGGCAATGCAAGACCAGGTAGTTATAGTTTCTGTTGTTCTTAATCATGCTAAAAAATATATAATTTTCTATTCGTTCATAGTTTTACAAGAATAACAAAGCAATTGGACTTAGTATTCTTTTTTCTTTTATTTTTTCTTTCTACGCCATTATACACCTGAAGACTAGAATACCACAGCAACCGCTTCGTATTCTTGCTCTGGGTGATTCATTAACGGCTGGTGCTTATGGTAACGCTCGTCATTCATATGCTATTCGCTTGTTAGAATTATTTTTATCGATAAATATGTCTGTAATAATAGACGAACAAGGAATATCAGGTGAACGAGTTGTACCAACAATGGTTAATCGAATGGGAAGACTTCTACAAAGCAATTTATCCTACGATTGGATTATTATATTAGGTGGTACCAATGATTTATTATCTGGATTATCTGCTGAAAAAATCTTTAAAGAAGGTTTGGAGCGAATGTATGCCATGTGCATTAATCATAGCCAAATAAAGGTAAAGTTGGCAGTGATGACCGCTATCGAAAATGGCTTTACTTCACCGACAGATAAAAAAGACAAAGATCGACAAGCGTTGAACAAAATGATCCGAGATTACGTAGTCACGACAAAGCATCATGATAGAGTTTGTTTAGTTGATCTGGATAAAGGTATATCGTATCATAAAGCAAGCAATGATAAAGAAAGACAACGAATCTGGAACGATTCTGTTCATCTAACACCTGCTGGATATGATCGTATGGCTACATTAGTGTTCGAAACTATCAAAAGCAAACTGTAATTACCCAGAACGAATAATCAGACACTAAGATCTTACATCAATTCGTACCATAAGATTCTTAAAAATTCTTACAATACCCAGGTGCACCAATCCGATATTCGGATCCGATTGGATCCGATCGGATCCTATGCCGGATTCTATCGGAATCCGACGATCCGACAAAATCCTATAGGATTCCTGGTGACGGAATCACTTCGGATTCCGTTATGGTCGGATCCGATCGGATCCAACATCGGATCTCACAATTTCCAACAAACGGATTTAGACGGATCCGATAGGTGACCATAAGGCCATCATAGAAAATAGCTAAAAACGCCGCTCATCAAATTTGCAGCAAGTGATTGAAAATTTTCCGTACGGAATCCAATGCAAATCCGTCACCAGGAATCCTATCGGAGTCTGTCGGATGATCGGATCCTATAAGATGCGATCGGATCCAACGTTGGATTGGTTGACCTGGGTAGAGCAAGATCTTCCAAGAGCTGAATGCTATGAATGAATACAACATCTCAGAGGCCACGGTCTTTCGGCAGAGGGTGTGGGCGAGGATGCGGGTGTGGGTGTAGGTGTAGGTGTGGGTGTAGGTGTAGGTGTGGGTGT